GGAGTCAGGTGAATTCTGAGCTGAATGGGCTGTATTGTACCATTCTGTAACTCCAACCAAAACAGGATCTCTGAAGTAATCAACCCTGAGTAGGGACTTTAAAGAGGCTTCCACAATATCCAATGCTGTTGAATACTGCAGAGGGAAAGTCAGTGTATCTGGGACCAACACTACCTTGCCTTCTAATTAGCTAGTGCTTTAATTGTTCAAAAAATTTTACATACACAATTGCATTGTAATATGTTTAATAAGTCCATAAATGTCAATCAAAATTATTTATTTTAGAGATTCAAAATCTATTGTTTCCCACCACTTCTTCCATTAGTGCTTCTAGGCTTTCAAAATATATTATGCAGCTAGTCTGTCTTTTCTTCCTCATTTTTTGTGGAAAGAAAAAAATACTTAATATACTGTATGATAGAAATAAAAATGTAGGGGAATAAATAGAATACTCAGTGAGTAGGAGTACAACAAGGATATATGACCCCTTGGTTGCGTAATGTGTTAATGGATAAATGTATAAGGAATGTTTGTGGTGACATTAGAAGTGTATTGGTTGTGGACAAGAATGTACATTTACTTTTGTGTGCAGATGATGCTGGATTGTTGGCTGAGAACCTGAATGACCTGCAGCAAATATTAGCAGAAGCGTATGATACAACAAGGAGTAGGATCTGAAAGTGACTCTATCAAAAATCTAGATAGTTGTGCTTGACAGGGAAAATAGAATTATTGCAAGCTATGTATAAAGCTGTATAAACAGCTAGAGCAAGTAGATGAATTTGTATATCTTAGGAAAATGTTGACAAAAGATAGGGAAATAAATGGAGAAATATTGAATGTGTAAATGCTGGGAGAAAGATAGTTGTTAATATGTGGCCTGTTCGAAGGAATATTTGTTGAAAGAAGCAAAAATGTCTTTATATAAGAGTGGGCTTCTGTTAAATGGAAATGAGAGTTGGATATGTTAGGAGAAACATAACAATCAGTTCGGTGGGAATAGGGTACTTAAGACCTCTATGTGGTCAACAAAAAGAGAGGTGTCAAAAATGACTATGTGCTGCGGATTGAATGTGGATTGGGTACAGAAGGAATGACTAGTATGAAAGTAGTACACTGAGGTGGTATGGTCACACAGAGAGAATGAAGGAGGATTGAAGTGTAGAACAAGTATATGGACAAAGAGTAAATGGATTAAGAATAGTGAGAAAATGGTGCTTTGATGGATTTGATAAGATCCTCAAAAACAGGTTTAAGACAGCCAGTATGGTGTGGCAGTTAAGGCATCAGGCTAGAAATTGGGAGACCGTGAGTTCTAGTCTTGCCTTGGGCACAAAGCCAGCTGGGTGACCTTGGGCCAGTCATGCTCTCTCAGCCCTAGGAAGGAGGCAATGACAAGCCACTTCCGAAAAACTTTGCCAAGAAAACTGCAGGGGCTAGTCCAGGCAATTGCTAGGAGTCAACACTGACTTGAAGACACAAAAAAGAAAACGGGAGGTTTGAAGTTTAAAAAACAAAAAGTAATGTATGAAGCAGTGTATACAGTGGGGCAAAAAAGTATTTAGTCAGCCACCAATTGTGCAAGTTCTCCCACTTAAAAAGTGGCCAAATTCTTATTTTCCACCATGACTTGCAAATAAATTCTTTAAAAATCAGACAATGTGATTTTCTGGATTTTTTCCCCCCACCTTTTTAAGTGGGAGAACTTGCACAATTGGTGGCTGACTAAATGTGGCCAAATTCTTATTTTCCACCATGACTTGCAAATAAATTCTTTAAAAATCAGACAATGTGATTTTCTGGATTTTTTCCCCCCACCTTTTTAAGTGGGAGAACTTGCACAATTGGTGGCTGACTAAATGTGGCCAAATTCTTATTTTCCACCATGACTTGCAAATAAATTCTTTAAAAATCAGACAATGTGATTTTCTGGATTTTTTCCCCCCACCTTTTTAAGTGGGAGAACTTGCACAATTGGTGGCTGACTAAATGTGGCCAAATTCTTATTTTCCACCATGACTTGCAAATAAATTCTTTAAAAATCAGACAATGTGATTTTCTGGATTTTTTCCCCCCACCTTTTTAAGTGGGAGAACTTGCACAATTGGTGGCTGACTAAATGTGGCCAAATTCTTATTTTCCACCATGACTTGCAAATAAATTCTTTAAAAATCAGACAATGTGATTTTCTGGATTTTTTCCCCCCACCTTTTTAAGTGGGAGAACTTGCACAATTGGTGGCTGACTAAATGTGGCCAAATTCTTATTTTCCACCATGACTTGCAAATAAATTCTTTAAAAATCAGACAATGTGATTTTCTGGATTTTTTCCCCCCACCACCATGACTTGCAAATAAATTCTTTAAAAATCAGACAATGTGATTTTCTGGATTTTTTCCCCCCACCTTTTTAAGTGGGAGAACTTGCACAATTGGTGGCTGACTAAATACTTTTTTGCCCCACTGTAGATGAGGTTAAAGACATGATGATTTGCAAGGATAGAAAAGTATGGAGAGGTACAGTGAATGGTATTAGTGTAAACTAGCATTAGCTAAGTTTTTATTTCTTTTCATATCCTTTTTCCACACTCTGTATAATGTTTACCCTGAAGTGGAATAGTGTGATGGGTATGTATGCATGCATATATTTCATAGGAGAAAAATGAAGCATGTTGAGTATGGAAACCTACCCACAGTTTTGCAATATAGTCTTATGCATATTTATCTGAAAATAATTTAGGCATCCTGCTATAACACAGGTACACCATTTGGCAGCAGGTACCACTTAACCCAGCAGAATTTAAGGTATTTCTAAATAAGGCTTTTATTTTGCATTCAAACAGTTTTTACAAGGAATCCCTATCTCATCTCCCACTTGTCCAAAGTCACTGGGAGCTTTATGCATATAATAAACAATAACAATAATTTGTAAATAATTTATAGTGTTTCTCACTACTTCTTCCATTGGTACTTGCAGAACAAAGGCTCTTAGCCCAGTCTGTCAGAATAGATTGCGTGCATTTATTCTATTCTTCCTTAATGAATTTTTGCAGAAAGAAAATACAGATGGGGAAAGTACAAGAGGGCTCTAAGTGGAAAATGATGACCCCTAGTTCTCTGGTAAAAGCTCGTCAATGAAGCCATTGTACAATTTATCTGGAAATACCTTTAAAAAACTTGTTAGATTGGTGATCCCAGGGAAACCTGTGGCCAAACCCTCTCTTCCTCAAAGTCTGTGGCCAGGACTTAGTGGCTGGGCGTCTCACATCATCCTCAGCCACAGCGTGATTTGTTTGGTAGATCAGCAGGATGGGTGAACGCGTAGCAGGCAGGCTCGGACAGATGTTAGGAAAGCATTGGAGCAGAACCAGCTTCCCGGGGATCCTCGCCTCAAGCAGAGGCAGTGCGCAGGCATCGGTCGGAGAGCTGTAATGAGGAGCTCTGCGCTGGCCGGGAGGCTGGAAGCGACGGCCTAAATGGCTCCTTCCAAGTCTGTCACCATAGCTAGTCATGGTTTATCCAGCAAACCACGGTTAAGCGTTCAGCGCGGTGCACGAACCACCGTGCCGGGGCGACCGGGTGGGCTAGTCCCTTGAGGACCCCTCCCTCCCGCTGCCCCCC